TCAATATATTTATATTTTCTTCGACATACAACTTTCTTGTAATATTTTATAACTTTACTTGGTAATATACATTAATCTATATTTTATTTCATTTATTTATACAAAATTACATGAATCTGTAAGTACACATAATATATAAATAAGTATATATGTATACATGTATGTGTGTGTAAAGAAAATAAAAGTATGAACATTATGCATAATAAATATTTACAAAAATATTTTTAAAATATTTATTTAATTTATTTTTACTAATATTTACTAATTTAATTGTTTGTAGTAACCACAAAATTCTTAAAAAAATGTATAAAACAAAGAAATTTAATTCTTACACTACGAAAGGCATATAATAAAATAATTATCAATAATTATATAGAGTAATATATGGCGGATGTATCAATTTCTGCGAATTTTATAAAAATAAAAAAAGTTAAATAAAATATATATTAATGTATTATAAAGTATAATAAAAAATAATGTTGAAAAAAATATAAATATGTTGAGAGTAAGTATATAGTATATTTTTCCTTTGGTTTGCAAGATCTTATAATATTTATGATATTCTAAACAATTTAAACAAATAAGTTTTTTAATCGATAGCTCTTATTAAAAAGATAAGGTTCTTTTCTATTTCTATTTGTTGACAAATAAAAAGAAAAGAAAAATGAAAAATGAGCCAATTTGTGGTGATTTAATTTTACTCTTTTTTAGAATGAATTCTGACAGCCAACAAAAGTAGCAAATTATATGTCCACGTAATCTCTCAATATATCGCCAAAGTTTTATAATTTTTTAAATTTTCGAGTTGGGGATCTTTTCTTACTAGTAATGAAAAATGTCGCGACTCGATTTGACGACGATCCGTGGTGTACAATATTTCTTTATGATTGAAAAAAATTTCTAATGATTGAAAAATTTGAAAACGGCACAATGATGTCGCCACGCGAGTCGAGTTAATGGCTAATTAAAAAGCAACGGACCATCCCAAATCATACAATCGATATTTAAACGTACTACTCTCTCTCGCAATACATTTCGAAATACACGTTAATCCTACGGAACACACACGCGTATTATTTATAAACGACTGATTTATATCGCGGCTTTCCATTACTTGAATCATTCGTCCCAGTAATTCGTATATCACTCCACGTATTTCAATCCGAAAATAATGGACAAATCACGACTGAATCGACGTAAAATTCGAAGCCCGACCGGAGATATATTCGGATCGAAACGTTAAAAAGGAAAAATCATCGCTCGGCAAAAAATAAATATCGCGATGAAACAGGCGTTTATAATTTCCGTCACCTAGCATTTTTGCTTTTAATGAATAAATTGCGCGAAATATCTGTCTCGAAAATAAACAGTCGTCGCTTCGATCCGCATACCAGTCATTAATCATGGGAAATAACTAATCGCATGCGCTGAATTACTTATCAGGAAATAAACACATTTCGGAAGATAATATGATGGATATGAAATGTCGCTATTTGATCTCACCGTGTGAACAGCAGCGAGGATAACTTTATGTATATGTAAACGACAACGTGTAAAAAAAAAAAGACGAGCATTATATGCCGGCTAATTCGCTGCAAAATATTTAATGCGCTCTCAAATAAATGTACGTTGAATATTCACTTCTTCGGATCTCACATTAATTTCGATGAATGGATTATTATTGCATGTTAAATTATTGCTATGTTGTGTGTTTCCTTATTTGAGAGAACAAAATTCACTTTTACATATACGTAACATAAAATGCACCTTTGTATTTTTAGAGATATTGTATAAATTAATACATTAATTTTATTATTATTATTATGTTTTCTTCAATTCTGTGACATTTTGAGAGGAATGAAAATCGTAGGTGAATAATTTTAATAAATCAAGAGAATTAAATCAAATAGCTAGAAAATCGTTATTGCGATTTATTATACTTTTTCTCTTCAGTTATTAAAATATTATAATTTACTTCGCTCGAATAGCGAGAAAATAAAAATTTGAAAAAAATGATGATAATTAATTTCGAATTAAAATGAGGAGAAACTATTTAAAAGTGATTTAACATTATGTTTATTCTTTTTAAGCGAATTATTTAATATAATAATTTTGTAATAGAATTTATTACTTTAATTAACCTCCAGAATTCGCCATTATAATACTGATTCTATAATTTATATTATTTCATAAACTCATATTTTAATAAAGACGAAAAATTTTATAACATAAAATGAAAATGAAATAAATGATTTGATGAAAAATATATGTTTTAAAATTCTTGTATTTTTATCTTAAAAATGTAAAGATTTAATGACCATAAGAATAATTTTATATAATTTGTAAGATTTAAAATGTAAGTCATACAAGTCGAGTTTTTTTGTTTATGGACTTCATTTGAAATCCATTTCCAAATTAACAAGTAAAAAAGTCTTACGTAAAACAGAAAAAATATTCTTTTTTTCAAGTATTATGCTCTTTGTTAAAAATTCTTTTTCAAGAATTGTACAAAGGATGGCATGAGACATGAAGGAATGAAAGTTATATCCGCGTAACTTTCCAACTTCACCTACGCATCTCTCTTCGCGTTGGTACGTTTTTAGGAAGCGATGGCATCGTTTATTTGGGTCAATGTAACGACAGAAATGTTAACTGCACTCGTGAAGAGAGGTCAGACCGAAGAGAATATATATATATACCCAATGGAGCTGCCGCAAAAAGTATTTGATTTCCTGATATTTTTGATAAGAGCTTTATTGAAATAAGATGGATTCCACATTTCTTCTCAGACATACAAAATCGTTTCATTCTTTATTACATCGATTCCTTCATGTACAAGACAGTAGAAATCATGCAAGATATTATTTACTAGGCTTTTAGAAAAAAAAATGGAGATTCGGATTTTACAAGGAGAAAAGACAATTATAAATTTGCTGAAGATTATTGAGGTACCAAATTGTCTCGTTTTGATCGCTCGTTAAATTCTCTGTTGAAACTAACTAATATATTGCATCCAAGAGTGTAAGTAAAAGGGAAATACAACAAAGTAATACGACAAAGTTATTACTACGCGGTTCGAGTACTTTTTTCGTCAGAAGCACAAAGTCTCCCTTCAAACCACCGATTCATCACTGCATTAGCCACATTGGCGTAGTTACGAAACTCACTTCCGCGAACGACCCGCGAAAGGCTAGATCGCGTTTGAAAAGTTTGATTAGAAGGACGGCGTGAATGATGAGTGTCCACCCCTGAGAGAAAGGTTTAATGTAACGCTGGGAAAAATCGATCCATGTTTTTTCCTCCTCCGGTTCTCCCCGGTATTTCCACGCTCGCGACGCGGGATTGTCGGGACGCTTCTCGAGTTGAATGCAAATACATACCTATCGGCGTGTCATTAAAATGTCTAGCATCGCTGCATTTCGCATGCACGCGCGCGCGCGCGCGTGCACACGGTACGGTTAGCGATACGGAGATTGAGTGGCGCGCGATACGTCATACATATATACCTCGTTATACGGTTACGCCAAAACTTGGCGAAGTTGGCGTCCGCCTTTGGCAAGCTTGGGGAAACCGCCGGAAAAGGGAGACGCAAAGACAGGTAGACAGGAGGCGTGGTCGAGAAACGCGAGAAACACGCGCGCGCGCGCGCGCGCGAAGGAAGGGGAGGGGAGAGAGAGAGAGAGAGAGAGTATA